GTACTCCTACCTCCACTCTTATATGTAACTCTATGTTCCTCCCTCTTCTGGAAATAGGTGTTAACTACAGCCATTTCCATCCTCTTAGCAAAGTCCACCACCATCTGTCCTTCTAGGTTCCTTCTCTTAACACCAAACCTGCCCATCACCTCCTCATCACCTTTGTTCCCCTCACCACTGTGCCCATTGAAGTCTGCCCCAATCACCACTCTCTCCCCTCTGGGAATACTCTCCATCACCTCATCTAGCTCACTCCAGAATCTCTCCTTCTCTTCTAACTCACACCCTACTTGTGGAGCATAACCACTGACTACATTCAACATTATGCCTTCAATTTCCAACTTCAAACTGATCACCCTGTCTGACACCCTTTTCACCTCTAAAACATTCCTCACGAGCTCCTCCTTCAGGATGACTCCTACCCCATTTCTCTTCCTGTCCACACCATAATAAAACAGTTTGTATCCCCCTCCAATGCTACATGCTTTGCTACCCTTCCACCTGGATCTCCTGCACACACAGTATATCTACCTTCCTTCTCTCCATCATGTCCACCAACTCTCTACCTTTCCCTGTCATTGTGCCAATGTTAAGAGTCCCTATTCTCAGACCTATACTCCTGCCTTTCCTCTTCTCTCTCTGTCTACGAATCTAATGTATCTATAACTCACCAGTTTAATCTATATTGACACTAAAGGTTATACATTATTAGAGGTGTGGCCACTTTGAGTGACAGGCAGGAGGGACTTTTCCAAGCTGTTTAAAGGCCCAGTCAGCTGAGTGGATGTAAACCTCTGACCCACTGGAATTGTGATATAGTGATTTATAAGTTAAATAATGTATCTGTAAACAACTGTTGGAAAAATCAAAGTGATAGCTTAAATTAGTGATTAAGAATAGCTTTTATTGATTTATAATGTTGCAAGTTAATTAAATCATGATTGTTCATGATTTTTAATCATTTATATTACTGCTTGCTGCTATGCTGTAACTTTCTTTAAATCTATGTAAAAATTTCTAAACATTTAATCTCCCTTTCTCTTTATTGAGTCATATTTATTATCATTATTTTTGCCATAGTATAGTGTTTGAAACTGACTTTAGGGAGGTGTAAAGCTATAGATGATATTTACTACATAAACTAAAACACAATTAGTTAAATGTGGTAAACTTCTCAAGACTGAAGTAATGATGATGGAGTATTAAACTCAAACCACTGACTTGATTTTCAAGAGGAATTGTATTAGAAAATACTTTGTGTAAATTTCTCATTTATCTGCTTGTTACATTTTATATACTGTAAATTGAGTGTCTATTTCTAGGAAGTTAACTAATGTCAGCTAAACACTGTGCAATAAGATCATGGTCATATGATCACTTTTATTTGACTAAGTATGTTACACACACGAGGACTTTGTTTCCGGTACAGAAACGAGGCAGCCATCTGCGGTGCCAACTCACACCAATGGTTGTAACCATCAGGGCCAACTTCCTTATCACTTATCACTTCCTCAAAGAGCCAAAGTATATTGGCTTCTAAAACTTTGTCAGTAGAGTAACATCTGAAGGTATCAGGAGGTAGTTGCATATAACCTGAGATTGTTATTGTTTGGGAGAGTTTGGGTTCTTGTCCTGAAAACACATTATTTTATTTTTCACAAAAGAAGCATACATACTTTTTCACTCAAACTGTTTTATTTCATACCAGCAGATGGCGCAATCATAACACAAATCAGAACCAGGCTTACCTTGTCTTTGCAACATCACCAGATGATGTTATCATAACGCACTTCAAAATTATGACAACACAAACCAGGTGAGAGACAACATTTGCAGGAACAGACCAATATAACTGTACTCTGTGAAGAATCTGAACAAATTATGTTTACATTTTCACCTCAAGCAAGTTTAATTGTAAAGGCACACATTCCATCATGCTACTGGCCATTTGTGATGCAAGCTACCATTTCACAATGGTGGACACTGGAGCATAGGGTTGTGAGAGCGACAAGGGAATTCTTCAGAGCAGTTGTGTTTCCTCTCTCCTATAGTATATCCTCTCTCTCATTCCCTGCACCTTCTGCAGGTTGCCCTGGCTCTGGAGCTCTACATTTCTGATAGGCAGTCACTGGCCACATCAACCTGCCTGTGTCTGATTGTTTGTTGTTGCTTTTCTTTTCTCTCTCCTTTATCTAGTCATCCCAAATGGTCGAGGCAGAAGGCCGCCCACCAAGAGCCGGGGTCTGTCAGCGGTTTCTTCCATTAACTTTGTAAAGTGTCCCGAGATGACTTTTGTTGTGATTTGGCCCGATACAAACAAAATTGAATTTCCCAAAGCTTCTGGTCTTCAGTTAAATTGTAAAAAATGTTACTTATTTAGGTACTGTAATGGAGAAAGATGAACAATTTTAACTCAATTGTTAAAAAAAACAAACTTAATCAGTGACTTAACCTTAAGAGGAAGGATTCTGCTCTCAAAGACTGAAGGAATATCTAGATGAATATATGTTGCACTTTATCTGCATGTAGATCATCACCTGTGTAAAACAATAGACAATTTTGTTTTTATTTTGTATGTAAAAACTATACTCACTATTTGAAAAAAATATATATACTCTTCCAACAGGACATTATACCTACACCTTCTGCCTTGTCATACTTGTCTCATTATGCCATTGGGATCAAGTTTAGCTACTACCTCATAAGTTTCTTCTGACCAACAAAGTCAGAGAAATATACCTTTTAAAATGATTTAAAGGTTTTAGCCAATCAATTATTATTTGCAGACTTAAGAAAGACATTGATGTTAGCTGTACATTCTGTGGGGAACCTATTTTGGTCCTATCCACAAGTGAAATGACACCAGAGTAATTTAACACAATCAATTATAGACAATGTTTACCCATAATTTATTTTATGTTTGGGAAAATATATCATTCAATTTTACTACATTTGGCAAGAATTTTGGTTCAGAATTTTTTAAAATTAATTTTCTTTTTATTATGACCAAATTTTACATCTATAAATCAAAAAAATTCTGATAAAAACATTTTCTGAGCTAGCCATCTACATTAAACATTACATCACCTTCATAACTGATAATAAAAATAAAACTCAATATGTGTAAACAATTTATATAATTGTTTCGTTATTTTATTCATTTATTTTAGTTTTTTGTTTTTGTTATAATACCCCTTGCGTTTTAGTTTTTTGTTCATTGTTGTTTTCTCTTGTGATGTTTATAGATATATTATGGTTTTCTAAGTTGTGTACACAGGAAACTATCCTGATGTACACTATTTTGTTGAAATAAAGTTGATCTAAAAAAGAGAAAGCGTAAAGTCCCGCTTCTCCCTTTTCTTCTGGGGATCATTGGCACATATTTCAGCGGTTGGAAAACAATGTATTCGTGCATTACCGCCACCAACTGGTAGGGAGTGAGAATCATAAGGCCAGTATCCGCCAGGCACATACCATTTTATATATAGAGAGATATGTTGCATATATATAAGAAAACCTATTTATAGATTTCTGTTCCTGCAGGTCTGTTCTATTAGTGTTTTACATTCATTATTTATTTTCACAGAGCCACATTAAGTAAAGCATTGCATTAAAGGGATGACATAAATGCATAGTTAACTAATACCACATGACAACCCCCCTTGATGTTTCAGAATGTAGTAGTCCAAGGCGCGCTCGGCGATTTGGCGCTAGTCTCCGTTACTGTACGTTTCGCAGCAGCAATAGTAACGTTGGCATTTTATTATCTTATGACTGCTTTTAATGGCATAAATCTGACAGCTTAATGGACAGTTATGGCTGAAGAAGAAAATAAGGTTTCCCATGAACTTTTCAAAGATGTCAAATTCTACGTGGTTGGGGACATTGACCAAAAGGTAAGTCTTTGGACCTTTGCTTCGTGTAGCAGTACTGATAGCATGCTAACGTGCAAGTACCGTTCAGTCTAAACAAGGCGCTGCAGGTGAAGCTAAATAGCAAGTTGAAAAGCTACACGAGAAACAACAAGCTTTTTTGGATAACGTTAAAGTGTTGTGACGATCCGTGTGTTTATTAAACTCGCAGACTAAATGTGTTGTGCAGAAGCTACTTAGCATTGCACTTTAGCATTAGCTTTGAGTTTCGTAGGTGTATTGATGGTTAGTTGCTAGCTTATAGCCTGCGGTTTATCTGGGGCATTGCAAGATTATGCTAAAGCTGCCGTTTGTTAGCTTGCTTTTTCTATACGCTATGCGCTCAGTAATCTAAGTACTGCTGCGCTGTTTTGTCGCTCGTTGAAACATACAATACACTTTTAGGCTGCGTCAGCCTGTCATTAAACACTGAGCACTCAATAATCTCAGTAGGCCACTGTTACTATGTTGTCTTGACCCACGTTGACCCACACACAGTATATATGATTTAAAAAACGCTTTAAGTCTGAATCAACCTGTCACTGTCAACATCTGGTTGAATGGGCCGCGTTTAACTTGCTGGTACTGGAGACCTGCGGCACTGAATTCTACTACCTGCCAAATAGTGACTCCCAGTAGCCCTTGAGCCTGTTTATTTTCAGCAAAGACATTCACTTTATGTCAAATGCACTGAAAACCACTTTGGATCATGGCGATGAGGTGCTGAGCCTGGATGAGGCTGTTTGCTGAACCAAGAAAAGAAAAGCAGCAGGAGTGGACAACATTCCCGGCTGTGTGTTTAAAAGGTGTGCAAGTCAGATGGCCTTGGCCTCACAGACTTTTTTAACATCTTACGGAGCCAAGCTGTCGCATCTACCTACAGTCTCTTTCTTTAATGATTACTGACCCATCACACTTCTTCAATAATGAAGTGCTTTGAAAGGTTAGTCAAGGACCGCATCACTTCCGTACTTCCGTACTTCCCCCCGCACTGGATGCATTACAGTTTGCTTACTGTTCCAATCGCACAGCTGAGGATGCTTTTTCTACCACACTCCACATGACTCTGAAATAGGGCCACTTTTTCCTAAAAAATATCAGTGTCAGTTCGAACTGACACAAAATTTGTTTGAATGAACTTTGCTATGGCTCAGTGCAAGGTGCTTATATATCTTGCTGTACCACTCTATTGTGCTCATCTGATTATAATTTGCTCCCGATCTACAAATTAGTCTTAAAGAAAAGTCAGCCAGAACAACACCTGGCTCCAGTTTGGTTGGAGGAGTCCATTCGTGATCTCCAGGAATGTTTTTATAGCACAAATTGGGACTTGTTTAAAGATGACTGTGTGAATTTTGATGAAATTACAGAAACTGTGACTTAGGGATGGGCAATGTGGCAAAAAACGTTATCATGGAAATTTTTTTTTTTCACAGTCTAATGATAATTATTGATCATTTTAATGAGCTATTACTAGGCTATATTTTAAAATAAACAACAACTCGTGTGTGTGTGTGTGTGTGTGTGTGTGTATGTGTGTGTATATATGTATATATATATATATACACTCCGTCCCGACTTCATTTACTGTGTATTTAGAGGTTAGATTTTGAAGAGGTTTATTTTGCGTTTCCTTTGTTTAGATGCATGTATTTGAGATGAAACTGTTGCATAACTGAAGTTATGTACACACTTACTAGAAAATTGTGCTATTTTAGTATGGTGAATGATTGCTTTTTTTGGTAGTTTTTATTTTATTGTATGATTTAAGTAGTAGTGTAAGATCCTGGAGTGATTAGAAACAAATGCTATGATAACTTTTAACAAAATATTTTTTTTATTTATTTTTACAAATGACACTAATGCATATAATTTATGACTAGAAATGTTTATTACCTGATATTAAATATTGCAATATGTTCCCTGTCCTAGCTAAACCGTGTAAAGCTAGTGGAAAAAGAGAAGAATGCTTTGGAGGGAGAAAAGAACAAAGCTGTGGAGTTCCTCACCCTGGAGAACGACATCTTCAAACACAGGAATCAGCTCTTCCAATATTATATGTGAGTGCGTTAGCACCATGCCCCCTCTCTCTCTTCTGTGTATGACAATTGAAACAATAATGTAACATATTAAATAGATAATATTAAATTTCAAAATTGGCCCAACAGCAGCATAGAAAAAGAAAAAAAAAGTTGAATAAGTACTCATTTTAATCATCTATTTTTAGAGCTTCACAAGGGACCATGATCTGTCTCTGCTGTTTGATCCTATTTGTTTACTGAGTTTGCTCTCACTGCTTTTTCCCGTTATCTCTTTGCCTTTAGTCATGATATGCAGAAGCATGTGGTGGAAAAAGAGCAGGAAAAGCAGAAGATCTTGGAGGACACCAAGGAGCTCACAGAGAAAAATGCAAAGATATCAGAGGAGATGGGGAAAATGAACCAAGAGCTCAAAAATGTGGAGAAGTAAGGGATTTTCTGTTCTTCTTGATTTTGTTTACCAATGTTACATGCTAACTAACTTTTATAGTAATTTTATAGTAATTAAATCATTTTATGGTTGTTGTCATGGCTTCTCTTGCCCTGATCATTTCAGTTTAGAAGCAGAATTCTACTTTAGTGCTGGAAAAGTGTGGAAGTGCATATAACAGTAGTCATTTGTGTATCCTAAAGTTAGGTGCTTAGACTCTTCCCACATAAGGTTGTTAAAAAAAAACTGGATTTTTCAGTAAAGGGTATAAACCTGATGTTATTCTAGAGGACATCATTTTATAAATGTTTGACTTTGACAGTATTTTTAAACATGGCAAAATATCTGAAGTGTAAAATGTGTAGTTACTGAAAACGTTTTGAAAAGCTTGTGTTATACAAACTGAGCATGCATATACTGTGTATGTATGTATGTATGTATGTGTGTGTATATATATATATATATATAATGTGTGATTTGACCAAATGTCCAAGGTTGTGGCACAGTAGGAGACTGTTAACTCTGTTTCATCAGCCTCCTTACACTCAGAATAATGTTAGAAGTGCTGTGTTATTCAAAGGACTTGCAACACAGGACCACATAGTGGGAGGTCAGCGACACTGAGAAGCTTTCGGAAGCCATCCTTTTTAACCACGCATATCCTTGGCAATGTAGTAAGCTGCAGTTTGGGGCTATGTCCTTCTACTATTTGTATGCTTGGAATTTTGGGCTCAGGCCCCCAAGCTCACCTGTAGTTTGAACACTGTTTCTTATGCAACATAAATGTCATGTTGAAATGATATTGTAACCATAATTATGAGCAGCTCCTGTAAGAAGCAGGCAAATCAAGTCAGGTTGTAGTTCAGAGTCAGACTTTGTGATGATGATGAGAGCTCCCACTTGAAATCAACTTTTGCAAACAACTACACACATCAACAAATGGTTGGTAAAATGGCTGTAAATGCACCACAACTGGCCAGTAAAATCCAGTATTAACACTACCATAATCCATTCACCTATTTTCTGTTCCCCTGCTGGGTTCAGCCTGTCAGCTCCGGTCAACTGAACATGGGTCCTGACAAGCCTGTTCAGTCTGGGGGAAAATATTTCCCCATAAATCTGTAGGAACCTAATAAAAACTCTTGTTAAAATCACATTATTTTTTTAATGCACATTATTAAATAATTATTGTTACTATCAAGATAAAATAAAGCTATTAATTATTTAATTTTATTCTGAGTGTGCACCTCCATGAAAATTGGCTGTTAGCTGGTTGGAGCTTTTGCATTCAGAATTTGCACATATTACTCTACTAATGTTACAGAGGCTACTACTTATTGTGTTGACTTAGTTCCTCTCTCTGCCTCTCATAGTTGAGTATGGAGAAGTTAAATGATTTCATAAATAGATAAATGCACAAATAAATTGTTTGAATAAAAATAATACATAGATAATAATTATCCTCCTGATGCAGTATGTCTGCATGGGCCCCAGCGCAAGACGCTACCTGGGGCACCACTAGCCCTGCCAGATGCTCAGGCCAGCTCTGAGGAGGAAAAAGAGTTCCAATGTCCCTGTGCCTTAGAGGCATCACTTCAGGCCTGCAAATCCAAAAGTGAGTGGTGAACCATGTAAATGCAGAAGGGGCAGAAATAGGGGCAGGAATAAGTGTGCTTCCACTTCTCCCTCTGCATCTGTGCACACTGTGCAGACTCTCTGGAAAATCGACAGAGGACTGACATGAAGATGTGTCCATCTGGTCTGTAGGCACTGACTCTCCAGCAGTTTTTCAGCTCACTGCTTTCAGAGTGGTACACTGGAGAGATGACCCTGGTCACCTTCCTGGCAGCAAACTCCATGGACCGGTTTGTTTCTACAGTTGGCCTTCGGGGCTCCCAGCTCCGTCTGCTCAGGAAGAACTGGGGAGAGTGACCTCCAGTCAGTACAGCAATTAAAAAAAAAAACATATATGAAATAAGACCATATAAAAAGGTTAACTGCTAGAAAAGCAAAATAAACTACATACCTCTCTCATGCAGTATGTAAGGTGCAGTGGAGCACTGATAGGACACCAGCAGCCTCTGGGAGATGTTCCTCTTCACCCGTAGGAAGTACAGTCTCTACTGGGCCTTTTTAAGGAGTTCAGAGGTATTCACGCCCCAGGTCAGACTCCTAGAAAGCGGAAGGCTGGCACCGTCTCCACACGGTCCCCGCTGATATACAGTGGCAAGATGTCAGTTTTCTTCCTCCTGAAGTCGACAGTGACCTCCTTAGTCTTTGAGGTATTAAGGAGCAGTGGGTTATTTCTTGAGATTTTGCAGAAGAGGGACCTGGCTGACATGCTGCATGCTCCAGTGTATGGAAGCAGCTCAGATGTTAAACAGATTCATTGTATTCCCGGTTTTGGTCTGAACGGTTCTCCTACACAATTTACATACAACTGTGATCTGATCTTGGTCAGACTTTTTTTAAATTTAATTAAATATAGTAATGCTATAGTGCTGTTCATCTGAGCTGTACCTCCTGCACTGCCTCTCCCACAGCAGCATGTTAGCTGCTGCCTTCCTCCTACAGCTCTCTCTTCCCGACCCTCTCTTGCTGCCTCAGCAGCACTGGTTGAAACCAATAAATATTTACAATGATCGCTAATCACACTGATTGGACTGATCAGCTTTCCCACATGTTTTTTGATATTCCCTTGGACTTAGGAGGCAAACATTCACCATCATTCAGTGTCAAAAGTTTATGAACTAGCATTTATCCATTTGCAGAGCAGTCCATATTCATCCAAGCTATGTATTCTTCCCGACCCTCTCTTGCTGCCTCAGTAGCACTGGTCCATATTCATCCAAGCTATGTACAGCATGCTGACCTTGGCAACAGCTGTGTTCTAACGTTAGTTTTGCTAGCCTTACTAGGTTGCTAATAACATATTAGAAGAGATGGAGCTCTGTGACTGACAGCGTTGTATTAAAAAAGCAAACACAGAGAGGAGGAGCTGTTCACAGACAGATTGTCGTCATGTGTTTGTGTGTGTGTGTGTGTGTGTGTGTGTGTGTGTGTGTATAAGAGTGAAATAAAGTGGGGCATGGAGGGTCTGAGTGAATACATGTGATACCAATACATCAGTATATATAAAAGGTATTGGTGCGTAGTATTGGACAACTTTTATGAATACAGGTTGCTAGACTGTGGTATCGATACCTCATACTAATATTGGTATTGGTGCACCCCAGCTGTGAACTGTGCAGTTGCTTTATCTCACACAAATTGCATGTTAGTGGTGCTGAATTGCTAGCAAAGTAAAATCTAGAAGTGGTTAAAATGTATTTTTGAGAACATCGTTACTTGCTTACTGTCTTTTCACGTTGTGCAATAGATCTTTTTGATTCTGTGAAAAGTGTTGGTGTCACTGAACTGAAGTAGAATTTGATGGAGTCCTTTGCTGATTTTCAGGTGGTGCAGCTGCTGAAAGCAGGAAAAGGGAAGGAGGTGTCGTACAATGCTCTGGCTACTCACATTATAGCAGAAGATGGTGACAACCCTGAGGTGGGCGAGTCAAGAGAGGTTTTTGACCTGCCTGTTGTCAAGGTAAGGGTTGTGCCACAGTATGCTCTCAATAACCCAGGTTTGGCTTTGCATCATTAAAAACAATCACCTTCACTGGTTATTTCCCTCATTTTCATACTTGTAACCCCAAATTGGAAAAAGGTGGGATTTTGTGTAAAATCTAAATTAAAACTGTAAATCATCTGTGCCCTGTATCACATTGAAAATAGTACAGCAGCACATTAGTTGATGCAATAGGTCACCAACTTTATTCATTGTTCAAAATAAACACTCACTTCAGTCTTGATGCTGCAACACATTCCAACCAAACTTGGGACAGTAAGGCATTTACCATGGTGTGATGTTGCTGTTCCTTTTCACAACACTTTCACCAGTGACATTTAGGGACTGAGGACACCAAGTGATTCAGTGTGTCAGATGTCATTTTGTCCCATTCTTCTTGCGAACAAGTCTTTGTTGACATAATTTGCATTTCAAAATACACCACCCATTATCTACTGAGGACAGGTGGGGACTGCAGACAGGCCAGTCCAGCACTCACACCCTTTTCAGGGCTTGCAAAATTTCAAAATCCCTGGTAGCCCTTCGGGCAGGTACTCTTTGGTTTTTACTAGCCCGAAATGAATTTAAGTAGCCTGAATAAAATAAGAAAAATATTTTTAATGTAGAATATCAATAATCAGCAACTGTGTCATATTGAATCTGACATATCAACTGAAGTCACAAATGGCACTTGATGTTGAGGGCATAGCAGCTTCTTCATCATCCTTCTCCTGTGCATCAGTCTCCACTTCTCTGCTCTTTGTTCTTGTCGGGGTTTTATGTTCCATGTGTCTTGAACCTTTTCCAGAAACTAACTGCCTTGTCAGGGCAAAAAGATTCAACTGAATCCCCATTTATGGAGAGTTGCATGCAGTCATTCAGTGTGTCAGGCTGTAGAGATGTACGATATGCGGTCTTCACTCGGTTCATGCAGGAAAATCCTCTCTCGCAGATGGCTGTTGATGGACTAAGAGTGAGCACATTTTTGATAGTATTTTATCTCCATAGAGCACCAACGCACTTCTTGTGATGCGGGGAGTTCTCATGGCTTTTGATGGGGTCTTTCCTAAAATTACTGCTTCCAGTAACAAAAGCACTTGCGGAGTCAGAAGTCAATGGAAACTATGGAAACTGACGACACACTTTGCAGAACATTATGTCATTATGCTTGTCATGTTCCAGCCACAGAAATTCTTTTGTCCATGAAACCAAAAAGCTGCGTTGCCTTTTCGCCTCATACTCTGATCTTTCAGGAGTTTTCCGCTTTTTGGTAGTCTGTTTTTCTTTAGCTGGCCCTTCGTCCTCCTGAACTATCGTTTTTGGCTCAGCAGAACCTGATTTTTCAGGAGTTTTCCGCTTTTTGGTAGTCTGTTTTTCTTTAGCTGGCCCTTCGTCCTCCTGAACTGTCGTTTTTGGCTCAGCAGAACTGAAATACAGTGCGTAAATCCATGCTCCTCTTCTCTTCTCTCCTCACACACACATAACTGTTGGTGATTTCCACAGGTCTGAAAATATACCGTTAAATCCTTTACTCCGATAACTGACGTGTTCAGTTCAGCAGTCCAAAAGAGTTAATCTAATCACCATGTATGTTAACAGCGATTTAAGACAAATATAGTGTAATTTAACGGAAGATTATGGGAGAGAAGGGACGGGATTTTGAATAGTGTTCTGAACCGCGACAGACGCTGTGGAGCTGTGTGACTGACTGTGTCCTCTCTGTACTAAAGACGTGGCGCTGCTGCACTACCCCCTTGTCTCCTCCACTACGTTTTACTCGACCGTGCCATTGAGAATCTGCAGTCGCGGGGATGATTTTTGGTGTTGCGGCTCACCACGAAAAAATTTATGTAGTGGAAACACTGTCCCTATGAGATATTCCAACGGGCAGGGCTGGATTATATTTGGTAGCCCGACTGGAAGATAAGTTAGCCCCGGGCCGTCGTACAGGCGATTTTGCGAGCCCTGCTTTTCCTCCACAGCCAGGCCTTGGTAATGTGGCAGTGTGAGGTTTTGCATTGTCTTGTTGAAATATGCATGGTCAGCATCATTGGAGCCATCACAGTGGAAGTTACCTTTTCCCAGGGCACTGACCCAACCCCAGACCATGACAGACCCTGGCTTTTGGACTTGTTGCTGGTAACAGTCTGGATAGTCTTTTTGTCTTCGGTCTGGAGCACACGGCGTCCATTCCTTCCAAAAAAGACCCGAAATCCTGATTGGTTTGACCACAGTACCCATTTCCACTGTGCGATGGTCCATCCCAGATGCCTCTGAGCCCAGAGCAGTTGACTTCTGGACACTGTTGACATAGGGCTTCCCTTTGGCACAACACAGTTTTAAGCAACATTTATGATGTAACTACATCCATATCCACAAAGCACATGTACACTGGTTGGGCAAACTCTCAAGATCCAAGAGTTGGTCCATTGTTCCATGACCAGGATGAAATCTGCATTGTTCCTCCTGAACCTGAGATTTGACAATTGGTCAGAGCCTCCTTTCCTGCACCCTGGCATATGCTCCCTGGGAAAAGCCTGAGTAGTGTGATACCCAGGTAGTTGGAGCACACTCTCAGGCCCCCGTTTTTGCACTTAAACAAAGAAACCATTTGATGCTTAAAGCTCCTCCTGAGACTCTTCACTCTTTACTGTAATTACCTGCTTCTTTTCACGTCCATGAGGTTTGATCACCTGTCTGTGTGGCACATGCACACACATAAGCCCACTGCTGCTCTGCCTTTTAATGGCTATGGTTTTGGCTGACAAAAGCAGGGTGCTTATAGTAGAAACTCTCAGGTTACTGTTTTATTACATGATAAATTTATGACAGACATTTAGCTGCCAGTGTGAGATTTACTCACCAAATGGTAAATGTACCCAGTGAGTGTTAATTTTAGGCCCTGCCTCTACTTACCTTAGATTTTGTGAACTGTTAAGTCTGTAAAAAGTCAAAATTGTGAGAAATGCCTGTCATAGGTTCCCAGTATCACAGCGTCCTCAGATTTTTTTTTGTTTGTTTTGTTTTGGCTTTCCTGGTAACAGTGTTATAAACAGTATGTATTGTTGAGTTATCTATTATTAGTACTTTCCCAACTGTAGTGCACAATTCAAATTTCACTTTAGGTAATATGTAGCTTTATATACTGGTAAAGTCAGAAAATTAAATTCATATCTAATTTTGATTTTGAATTTCTTTTTTTACCTTAGTCAAATAGTGACAGTGAGTTTGAGCCTCTTTGAGCTAGTGTAACTGAGGAAACAGAATGAACTCATCGCTGTCTTTATGTTTTCTAGCCGTCCTGGGTGATCCTCTCAGTTCGATGTGGAGACTTGTTACCGTATCCTTCCACCATCAAGTCCACAATACCTCACATTGGTGAGAACAACATATGTAATAACAGCAGAACACTTATGACAATTTCTGAATTTAAAAGAAGGGCTTTCTGGGGGAATTGTTGACCTAAATCATTATGGAGCTTGAGGAATTTACCATAGTGCCACCTAAGAGTGGCATTACGTTTGCTGTTTATTCCCATAACTCTCAACACAGAGTGACTGGATTTTCCCCAGAATCAGGACAGATATTCTTTGGTGTGACAGCTTGTCTTCCCAGGGTAAGTGTATGTATAAGTCTTTGAGTGTCATCCTCAAGAAATCCATTTTAGTATTTCCAAAATTTCTATATGTACATATTATGACAGATATGTCCACACAATAGAGGTCATTTGAATTATTCTGCAGTGAAGAGGTGGATTGCTTTGAAATAGTGTGCTTGATGTTGTCTTACTCAGTTTGCATTATTTGGAAAACTGGAGTTTCAGGCCTTGTATCTTGAGGTGACGTCAACAGTTCTTACTTTTGACTGAGATAACTAGTTCAGCATCGTGTGCCTATTATTGTGCATGTATTTCTGTAAATGTGTATGTGGTTGTACACAGCTTCCAGATGACCTTAATGCTTTGTGGGCTTATATAACCTTTTACGGAGGAGAATGTCAGCTTAACTTCAACAAGAAAGTCACCCACGTGGTGGTGAAGGAACCAAAGGGGGTAAGTGCACGATCTGTGTGTAATTTTCATCATTTCACTTGAATTGCTCTCATAGAATTACTGGTTTTCACTACGAGAACGAGAACTGACCTGATGTTAGCTAAGGTTTTTGTTGTTTGTTTGTTTTATACAAACTTGTAATGTTAACATTTTCTACATGTACCTTTGCAACAGACAATATTGTCCTATTCATCCTTGCAGGTACATCAAGCTGTACAATATATATTTTTGGTTGCATTTTCTTTCCAGGCCAAGTTTGAGTGTGCTCTGAAGCACCCTAGCGTCAAGATCGTTACCCCCGACTGGATAATAGATTCTGTTAAAGGTAACGTTGGCGCTCTCAACATGCTGTATTTATGCATTTGTTTACTTTTTAGTTGCATAGTTGTGTTGGCCTATATTGCAATTTAATTATATGATGTGCTGAGTTTTAGGACTTTAGTCGCTATCATTCCGTCCCTGGTAGGCTGGTGGTTAAGGCGCAGCGGTGAGACCGCTGCACCCCGGGTTCAAATCAGGGTTGTGTCAGGAAGGGCATCCGGCGTAAAACATGTGCCAAATGTCAACATGCGAGTCGTCAGTGTGACGATTCACTGTGGTGACCCCTAAATGGGAAAAGCCAAAAGTGACTTTCAGTCGCTATCAAATTGAAATTGCGATTTAACAGAATGTCATTTTGAAATTGGCAAAGGCTGTGATATAAACTGCAATTGAAACATGGTTTTCAAAGCTACAGATTTTCAACGGTCCCAGCAGCACCCTCACAGGCTTCAGGCACACACACTCCACAGGCGTCATGTGAAACTTACTGAGTAAATGAGTGGGTAGAACAAAAAAAAGACAAACAATACGTTTCACTTTGGTACTGCTAGCTGCACTGAAAATAGGCAGAGCAGAGAGCTGACCAAGAGACAACACTAACAGTACGTTGGTCGTCTGGATCCATGTTTGTTTAAGACCAGGGGCTGACGGGTATCAGTCTTGTTAGCAAAGTTCAGTGTGGAAATAGTTCAGGTCGCTCTTTCTGGTTAAAATGATAACCAGCGGGGTCATACCAGCTGTCGCTAACTAATATTAACTCTGTAACCTAAGTTGATGACAGGACAGAATGAAACTTGGTGTTGTCTAGTTTGAGACTTTGCTGCCACTGGTGGATAAACGGACAACATGGTGTCTGCTGTTACCCAAAGATCTTTTATGAGGTAACACAACTATTTTTCTGTAGTTCCAGCAACTCCAACAGAGTGCGAGGCCTTCACTGGTAAAACTATCAGTCAATCTCACATCTTCATACGATGGAAATGTGGCATGTTCTGCAGGATGGTGTATATGCAAATGAGAGAAGTGAAAAGCAACAAAACACAACAACAAACGAGCAAACACTGGTCAGGTTGATGTGGCAGTGACTGCTCATCAGAGATGTAGAGCTCCAGAGCCAGGGCAGACTGCAGGAAGGTACAGGGAGAGAGAGAGAGGACACACAGTTAGTGATGTGTAATGGTGGCATATAGATGGATGGAGAAAGAGAAGAGGGACTCTTCATGGGGCATCATGGGCCCCCCAGCAGCCTAGGCCTATAGCAGCATAACTAAGGGAAGGCTCAGGGTCACCTGATCCAGCCCTAACTATAAGCTTTATCAAAAAGGAAAGTCTTAAGTCTAATCTTAAAGGTAGAGAGGGTGTCTGTCCACCACAGCAGCACCATCCAAAGTGGGATGGATGCTATCTCTGCTAATCAGACCAGGTTTTCTGCAAAATGTTTTCATCTCTATGAAGCCCACATCATTTTCCATCAAAGTCTGTCCCGCTCAGTGCTACTCTACATCTGCCATGTTATTGCCGTGAAGAAATTAAAGACTTTAAAGGCGACAGTGTAGGACTTGACGATAACACATGCCGCAACATGGTTGATTGGCAAATATCACTTTCAGCCTCTACTATTTTTGGTGTTATTCAGGAAAGAAGCATCAAGATTTGATGAGAAGAGTTGACGATTGAAGATTGCCTCCCCCCCCCCTCATATATATCTGGCTCATTTAAATAAAGGTAGAGAGGGTGTCTGTCCACCAGAGCGGCACCATCCAAAGTAGGATGGATGCCATCTCTGCTAATCAGACCAGGTTTAATTGTGTGCTAACTGATTATATGGGGTGGGATTGTATTACTGTATAGTGTTATGTTTGTTATAGTTGTATAGATTTCTTCCATTAAAGTGAGTTTTTCCTCTCCACTGTTGCCAAGTGTTTGCTCAAGGGGGATTTGTTGGGTTTTTCTTTTACAATAGTGTAACGTCTAGGCCTGATTATGTTAAGTGCCCTAAAACAGCTGTTGTGAATTGGTGCTATACAAATACATTGATATGAATTTGAATTAATGAAGATTATACAAGACATCACAGTCTGCAGTGGTTGTGGCTAATAACCATTGACTATATGACTATATAAAATATGGGCAAGCCCACCGTTGCATCACCGTTGGTTTCTGAAAAGTGCTTTTACTTCATTGCAAGAGTGCACTAGAAAGTAAAATGACAAATTTATTTCCAGCACTTTCTTCTTTTCTTCAATTACAGGCAAAAACAGGAAGGATGAGGCTCTTTATCACCCCAGACTCACATATGTGGAGCCTGAGAACGAGGAGGAGAGTGAAGCAGAGTCATATGACCAGCGCTCCCATTCAGATGGAAGTAGCAGCCCCCGGCAGTCCCACCTGTCCAGTGGTGGCTCTTCTGGTGAGGAGTCCAGCCCTCGCAGACGACCAGGACCCAAAAAACTGAACTCTCTCTCTCCAGCGTCCCCCCACAAACCTGAGCGCCACTGCGAGCGCATGTTTGATGACTCTGACGATGACTCCTCCACAGAGAAGGAGGGCACTAACCTCAACTGGACACCTGCTGAAGTCGTCACGCCCCCACCCCCTATTCCAACCGGCACAGCCAGACGGCGGGGTGGGCCTCCTGGCATCAAAGACCCAGCGTCATCAACAGGCAGTGGGTTGATCAACCTTAGTGCTACTGTTCCTCCTGTACCTGGTAGTGGAGGAGCCATGCATCCAGAGGCCCGTTCTACTGCTGCTGCCATCAGTCACAGCACACAGCATGGTCAGTATGTTAGTACACTAAAGGGCCTTTTTCACTGTGTGGTACCAGTGACTGACAGGTCACTCTGTGGTCTCAGGTTTGAGGCATGTCACACTGTGCAGTGAATGTCTGCTGAGTCGAAATGGTATAATGGAAACGTCATCTACCTTTAACCACTAATGTTTGGAAAATACAGCAGAAACTAGCTTTGGCCATTTGCTGGCCCAGTGTTGTTTTCAGATAAACCTTATTCATTAGTGATGCTACCAGTGTCATTTCGACCAGTGTGTTCTGTATGCTCATGCCATATTCTGATGAGTCTTTTGTACAAGTAGGTTGATTCAGCTCTATATGGATCATCAGTCTTAGAGCCAGACCACCGTTTGGGTTGATAATTACATAATTAACTGGTTTTCTCAAGACTCAGCTCAATTTGGGCCAGCCCAAGTTTGCATAGTGTATTGGGGCCCTAACATAGGAAAGATTTAGAGAATATTTAGAATCTAAAAGTGGATCATTTTGTTCTCTTTAACACCGATGCATTGTCTAGATGAAGTTAATAACCCTGCTGATCACACTGTTTAGGAAAAAAATGTCATTTTTCACTTTATGCTTTTAGTTTAGAACTTTATTATTTAAAATTATATTTATTCCCTAGTCCATACAGCTCATACTCTAACCTCAGTTTAATATTACCACCTTAATTCTTACATTTGTTGGTTTTGTTTTGTAAGCAACTGCATCAGGGTGGTTCACTTGGATTGTGTTTCCATTAATTCTTACCAAATATGCTGAATCTTAACACAGAAAATGCTCTGCAGGTTGAGATTCTAGAAAAGAGGAACATCTTTCTGAAGTCTAATTTTTAATTTATAGTTTCTTTTCAAAACAGAAGAATACCTTGTCGATAAAGGTTTAACCTCTTTCTGATTTTTAGGTACATCTGTTCCAGAGGGCATCCCTGGGTGGAGCCCAGCTGCTAGAACCCTTCGTAACATTACCAACTCTGACATGCAGCCGGCCAATCGACCCGCCAACGCAACACATGTAACAAACACATTTACAACAGCATTTTCCCTCTCTGTAGCACTGTCATAACTAACGCCATTCTGTCTGTTAATGTGGAATAGTGATGACCGCAGCACAGAATTACTCATATGTCAGGGTTTTCTCTTTGTTTTAATTCTTTTCTTTCTTTTTTTGTCATTTTCTTTTGCAGATTATCCAAAATCTGACAGCCATTCAGATGAAGCCATTAGAGCAGCAGCCCAATCAGAGTCATGCACAGACACCTAACAGTACAAACCCTCTTCTGTTCAGTCAGTCCAAACTGGCAGGTCATCCCCTCACAGCGGAGCAGCAGCAGCAGCAGCACCACGAGCAGCACCAGTCCCCCCAGACGCCCCAGCAACAACATCAACATTTACCACAACAACCGCAGCATCCCATGATGCACCTCCAGCAGCAGCAGCAACAGCAGCATCAGATGCTGCAGGTACATCACCACCACCAACAACAACAGCAACAGCAGCATCAACAGCAGCAGCAGTCACAGGTTGTACAACAACAAGGTTTCCCACAGTTGCCCCAGCAGCAGCAGCAGTTTCTGCTACAACAGCAGCAAATTCAACATCAGCAGATGTTTTCGCAGCAACAGCAGCAGCATGCGTTCTCCCAGCATCAAGTGGGGTCCCAGCAGCTAATACGGCCTGGTTTCCAGCAGCTGCAGCAGCAACAGGTGCTGCAGCAACAGCTCCAGCAATTCCAACAGCAGCATCGTATGCAGATGTTACAGCAACAGCAGAATCAACAGCAATTACATCAACAGCATCAGCATTTCCTGCAGCAGCAGCAACACATGCAGCAGATTCAGCAGCAGCAGCAGCAACAGCAGCAGGCGCAGAATCAGCAGCAGCAGGCTCTGCAGCATCAGAACCAGCAGGCCCTGCGACAGCAGCAGCAAACGACGCTGCAGCCTCCGCTCCAGCACCCTCCGCACATCTCCCAGCTGTTTGGACATGAGCCAGGACAAGAAAGTGAGTACAGGCAGAGTAGGTGTGACGGCTGGTCATGCTCACTCCAGGTCATACTGTTTTGTAGTGGTCGAACACATTGATGCAAACTTAAAAATTACTGAGTCAAAAACATTATTACAATATATTTCTTTTGTACTCATTGATAATTGCTAATTCTCGGTATATGCTTGTAATGCCATCAGTGTTGAAGTTTGTTAGACCACAAAGTTACAATATAATGTGTTATGGTGAGTACTACTGAATGTTATGTTTACAAGAAAACTCTACAGCATAACTTTTCATTTTAGGTTCAAGGGTAATGTGCAGCTTTGGATTGAGTTGAGAGAAATCAAAGCTTATTATTGCTTCTAAACAATTTGTTTTTGAGTCATTAACTTGACATGCTCTGCACTCAACACAGTCGTCTAACATTTATGGCTTTAAGCTCACGTAAGGCTCTACTGTGCAGCTACGCTACAGGTCAGCAGCAGTGACAAAGTAAAGCTGCATTCTCCTTAAAGTCAAGGCAGCTGTGGTTTTGAACGCTTCATCCTGCAGCTCTACGCTGGAAGCCAGCCACTTTCATTAGCTTTTCAAACTTGGTGTTTCCACTGTTCTCACTGGTGTCATGTCTTTCATCATGAAATAAGAAATTGCGCTGATGGGACAGGGTTCAGTGGCTGATAGCACTCCACAGACTCTCTTTGCTCACTGGGTTAGTAACATTACCTCTTCTAATGGGGGGAAGATGTTGGTTGTTTAGTTGTTTCCCAACATCACCAGTAGGAGTGAGACATTTTGGCAACCTCACAATTAATTTGATTCTGATTCTTGGTGCCACATTTCAATTCAGAATCAATTCTCTTTATTTATTTATTGAAATGACATCTTCTGATGTATAGCTAGGGCACATCATCGGTGATATTACCCGAGGTCATCGGGTGTTTCGGGTCTTTCAAACATCAGGCACCTTCGCTCAGGCAATCCAGCTGAGGTTGATCAAGCCTCAGCTTGTGTCCCAGCAGCACTCGACCACGGATCCGCCCTCTTTACCCAGAGCCATCTAGAGGCTCTCTCTGCCGCCTCTGTGCTGCAATAGATGGCACTGCTCCTCTCGCCTGTAATGCCGAGTGCAGCATAGGCTCTACAGAGAAATTGTCCTGCAAAACCCCTGCACCCAATCTGTACAGGCAAGCACTTTCCCTTCCAACCTTGTCTATGGCAGTTGTTGACTTGACTGTCATATTTCTCCCTCTTCCGCTCAAAAGCCTCCTCCATTTGCTTCTTCCCACGGCACTGTAAGTTCCAGCATGACTACGTTCTTTACCTCAGACACCAGCACTGTCAGGCATAAGAGAGGTCTTAGCAACATTCTGAGGGAACTGGAGTTGTCTGCCCAAATCCACTAACAACCATCAGTCCTGAGCTGTGTTGAGAAGCCCTGACATTTTCCTCAGTGTCGTTTTTTCGATTCAGTGAAGAAAAAAAAAATGAGGGAACTATATTTTGGCTTTTACTCCAGTGCACTGTCAAACATCTGATTCCTGCCTGTTACCTGCTGAGCTGCTAATGAAACATGCACTTAAGCTAACTGCTACCTAGCAGCATGTAAAGTACTTGAAATTTTAAGTAGGTCTATATAAAGTTCAAATTAAAATAAAAATAGGAAAAATGTGCTAATTAAAATGAGCACCACCTTCTACCTGCTGCAGCATTAAATATGATGAACACAATAATGCATCCAATAATATAAATGTGCCATTCTGCACAATGAGTAGCCTACTTTTACTTTTTGTACTTTAAGTAGGTTTTATTTTGATTTTGTTATATTTTTTATGGTGTCAGTGCATGTTAATGTCTTAAAGTCATTCCATTCTGTGCTCTGAATAACAGGCCTTAATTTTTCATGGTCTTACATAATGTTTGCTGTAGGTGTTTGTTACAGCCTTTAAAATGATTTCTGAGTGTGTCCTGTCTATCGCAGTGACAGCTCAGTGCATAAATTACACACAATGAGATTAGTACAAATCAAAGAAATATAAACGACATGACAGGCGCTTGGCTTGGTGGAGTCGGCCGGTGATCAATGAAGTGTTGTTGCTAGCAAGCACGTTGTGTAATTATCGTGGGCAAGTGTCATTACAGGATATTCCGGAGCACTTCAGGTTAAGGCCATTGCCAGGGAATGACAGTGAGGCCGGTTGCACCTTGTCATAACTCTTTTATACTCGAGAACAGCACAAGTTGGCTGAGCTTAAGGAAATTGATGATGAGAGCCTCCAACACAGCAGAACTCTGAATGTTGTGTTGTCGCTCTTGTTTTCATACACGCCATCATTTTGTTTTCTCTTTGTCAGTCAGATGATGATGATGATGCTCTGCTATGTTTTAACATAATATAGCTTAAAAAAAAACAATATACTGTATCTGTGAGCCATTTTTAAAATATATTCTTTCTTTTTTTCACACTGAATGCCTCAGAGTTGGGAAGTTTGAAAGTACAGTTAAGATTACATTGTTAGATTTTGGTCTTTTTCATTTTATTCATTCCACCTCAAATTGTATTTATATTCACCATATGTTTTCAGCTATAATAGTGATTGTTGGAGCAGTTCAATATTTTTCACAGCTGTTGAAGAAATGTGTTGATTTCAGTTTAGTTGTAAGTTGGAGCCTTGCATACAGCTGCAGTAGGTGACCAGCAAACTGTGACATACCATTTCTTAGTTGTGTTTACAGTTTTGGTTGTTGATCAGTGTTAATGATTCAGTTGTTACTTGGCCAGCCACAGCGGTTTGTGGATTCCAGCCTGTTTAGATTTGTTGTCTGACCCTGTGAATACTGAACTCTGACTTAATCAACTCTATTTTCAAGGCACTGGTTGAAGAACCCCAGTTTGGTTGATAATACTGTACCTCTACTTAACTTACTTTAAAAGTCAAAATAGTGACAAAGCCTGCCATAAGTTTCCAGTACCAGTACTGCAGTGTTTTCAGGCTTTTCTTTTTGTTTGTTTTCCTATTAACAGTAGTATAGATCACATTTAAGAATGTCCCTTAACGACTGAGTGACTTAGGATTGATGGTTGTTAGTGGATTTGGGCATCTGTTGGCCATCAAAGGACTGAAACACCACCGAGGGGGATAAATATCTCCAGCTCAACACCAGTCAGTCAGAACTGATGAAGCCTCTTGGATGAGAGGTGAAACGTCTTCGACCTAGAAAAGTTTTTTCAGTTTACTATGACCTGGATGACTGAGAATCTGCACAGACACATAGGGGGGGGGCTGTAAAATCAAAATGAAAACTGAAACGAGTGATGTATAAATCATCTGTGTCCTGTATTACATTGAAAGCAATACAACAGCTCATTATTTGATGTGATACCTCATCAATTTTATTCTTTGTTCAAAATAAACACTCCAATTCCGATGCTGCAACACATTCAGGACACAAATGGGTCCTGTCCAAATGCACATTGACCAAAAGCAGACTTCCAAAGCTGTGCAAAATGGGAATTATGATCAAAGAAATGAAGGCTCTACTCTTATTCTGACATTTCACATTCTTAAAATAAAGCAGTGATCCTAACTGACCTAAGACAGGGAATGTTAATGGGGTTAAATGTCAGACGTTGTGAAAAACAAAGTTTAAATTTATTTGGAAACTTGTGACTTCACTGTAGCTCTGGCTGATGATCCAAAACACACCATCATATTTGATCCACCGTTGGCTTTAATGCTCATGTTTATAATGTGGCTGGTGTTAGAGCAGTAGCACCATAATGTGTGGATATAAACACTGGGCTATATAATCTATACAGTTACACAGATACTGTATAGTATCAACTAGTGGGTGACGTTTGCATCTCTTTTGAGAATTGTTGATGTTCAAGGCAGGTTTGGTGACGTTATAACCATTTCATATCAGAGGGTCCACTATCTGCCGTTGTCCAGAAAGTACACTGAAAACATTGAAATAGAAATTAAGAGTGTTACGGGTGAATTTATTAATTTCTCATACGGGAAAGTCAGCAAAACTACATTTTAGACTTGTCAAAAGATTTTCAAGATGTTTCATCAGGATGATTGCTGTCTGGCACTACATTATGTGTCAGTGGGCAAGTGATGAAAGAAATAAAGGCTGAGATAAATCTTTCTCTATTATTCTGACATTTGACATTCTTAAAATAAAGCAATGGTTCTAACTGACCTAAGGGTTAGGGAATGTTTATAGGATTAAAGGTATGATTTTATCATCATCTTCTTCTTTTGTTTGTTTAAAACTGAGTTCCAGGTTCAGGTACAAGGAAAATATCTTGATTATTTGTAGAATAAGCTATGTAACCTCTGATTTTTCAGTTCCACAGGATGCCTTCCTGTTGGGTTGCATTTTTGCTATTGCTGACTACCCAGAACAGATGGCTGACAAACAACTCCTGGCCACATGGAAGAGGGTAAGATAATCACTCACTCAGAAAATTTGTCATTATAGTGAAAAGCACAAATAAAACTAGATTTGCAAGCAAATATAAAGGGGCCCAAGCCCCCCGGCACAATTCTGACTTGGAGCACCACTGACCCAAGGCTCTCGTGAAGCCGGGAGCATTTACCAGCAGGGCTTAATGTGTAGTCCCCTTTCCCCCACTCATTTTCCAAATGTACTGTGCTTCGCTCCCAGAGCTTTCTACCTGTTGTCAACTGGTTTAATGTTCATGGCGTCTAAATATTTTTTGGTTGCTTTCTGCCTTTCTGTGTCCTGTTTGGTACTGTGTGCTTCTGTTGACTGCCTACGCATTAAGGACAAAGTAAACAATGTTTGACACTGCAGTAATGCACCTGCAGCTGTTTGATATTTATTCAAATTGAATCGACTTAATGTGCTTCCACACCACGGCTTGTGATAATGTTTAGAAAGTGGCTAACACTATGATATGAACAGACATGCTCATTATTGATTCCCATTTACAGTCATCCCTGATTATCAACCCTAGTATCTGTATTTCAGGCTTGAAGTAATTGCACTACTGCAAATATTACTGCATTCATGAGCAAAAGTACAAGTGCTCTGTGGTAATCCACTTGATGTGCCAGATAAAATACTGTGATTCTTGAGAGCAAATGATATTTGGACAAGCTGAAAATAAAAATGTAGCAACGGTTTAATGGACTTACCCTGAATATACATCCTGCATACATGGTTTCACTTCTTAACTTTGGTACAAACGGCTATCTGTCTGCTGTACAGGAAAGCATTTCTAATGATACAGAAGATTTAAATAAATATTTAAGTTACAGCAGTGCCATGTGCATAAATTGCACACTGCATTTCAAGATGGTTATTCTAGGCACCATGGTTCTCGCCCACTGTCTTCCCCCATTCTGATATCAAGGTCACTATCATGTCAAGACTAGCTCTCTGCCTTATGTATTCCATGGGTACATCTCATATGTCTCTTAAGCACCATTGTTTCCCTCACTTGCATCTTTTCCTTGTGTTTTAGTCCCACCCATCTGAGATGCAAGGAAAAGATGTGAAGGATGCGTGGTTAGAAAGGACTCAATAAACACATTATTAACATGAGGTGTCCTTTCCTCTGCTCCATCATCTGACATGTCCAATCACAAACTGATTTCTGATAAAGGGGCGTATCAGGTGACAGTATACAACCCCTAATAAGAAAAAGTTGAGACAGTAAAATTGATGAGGTATCACATCAACTAATGTGCTGCTGTGTTGTTTTCAATATGATACAGGGCGCGGATGATTTACGCATCACTATATTAAGCTTTAATTTAGATTTTACATGCTGTCCCAACTTTTTCTGATTTGGGGTTGTACATTTTCAACCAGTAGTGGAAGAAGTACTCAGATACTTTACTTAATTAAAAGTAGCAGTAAAGTGTAAAAATACTGTTGCAAGTAAAAGTCCTGCATTCAAAATGTTACATAAAAGTACAAAAGTATTGGCACCAAAACATACTTAAAGTACTAAAATTAAAAAGTCTTTATGCAGAATGGCACATTTCACTGTCCTGTATATCATATTTTTGTATTGTAATTTCTGATGCATTATTTTGTACATTATATTTAATATTGCAGTTGGTAAAGGTGGAGCTAGTTTTAACCAGCTTCTATGCATATAATTTGATTTGCTGCTGGGCAGCCTGCAGGACTGTACGATAAATCATTTTGTGAGTGTGATTTATATCCCTGTGCAATTTCAGTCTCACATGAATATAATTCTGCCATGTTTGTATTAGCACAGAGATGCCTTGTATCAGACCGAGTGCTCTCTCTTCCTTGCTCTGTATGGACCATGGCAAATATCATGCTGATCAGAGGATTAGCTAGTTTTGTCTGTAAAACACACACAGTTCTTCCTCTCTCACACACACAGACTCTGCACCACCCCCTCTTTCTCTGCATAGGAGTCCTCATCCACTTTAGGGCCCGGCCCCTGGACTTTTGACACGGCCCCTTACAAACCCTGAGTCTTAGGAATACTGATAGTAATTGCCTTGACCCCAGCAACTGGCCTAAATACAGAGGAGTATCAGGAGTTTCTCCTGTAGGACGTGTTGCAACCAAGTTGATGCCTGTCAGATTGTAAGTGAACAAAACATGTTGGTTGGTTGACCAAACTACGTAACGTTTTATTGTGCACATTTTGCAAACAGTCTGCAGACACAACGTGTACAGCAGCAGAACAGCATATACTGTTTTTACAAGAGTAGGTAATACTGAAAGCTTACGTTTAAATTAATAACAAGCTATTAGCAAATTAGACAAACTATGACATTTCATGCATGGGTCCCATAAATTCCGACCTGCAGTTCTCCCTTTGGCCACCAGATGTCACAAAGCCTACTATACCGTCCACCTGTTGGTGTACAGGGTTCTGAATTGTCAGACCATACAGTATTTTTATCATACAGGTACTGCTTATAATCTGTTACGCTGGGTTTCATGTCTCTAGCCAAAGATCTACTGCATTAAACATGGTTAACACAGCACCATAATTACCAGCATACAGTAGTGAACACCATGTACAGTTTGCTGCAGAGAAGTAGACAATTCTTTGGAAACACTCATTTTAAAGGTGATTTATCACACAGCTGCTGTCATAACCCTGTAACTGTATTGACTTTGTGGTGGACATAAAAATTCATCAGCTAAAATACTGAAGGTTTGGGGTCTTTAAAAAACCAGAGCCCATACTATAGGATAGAACGGAGGTTTATCAGCTGTGGACCACTGTGCTATTTATTTAAATGACCCCTCCTATATCACGCATCTCCTAAAATGTTTCTATGTCTGCTGTGTTTATAGAAAAATGTAGGGCTTCATTCACACTGTAGATACTGTGCATTCTGCACTTCTGGTTAGATGCTAAACTGCATCTCGTTGCCTTGTACTTGTACATGGGTAATGACAAAGTTTAATCTAATCTAATCTAAAGTAGGCGTTCGTATAGCAACCTTGTGTGTGTGCAGGGGGTTCTGTACCTGTGATTGTAGGCTGAGCGCCACCTACAGACATTATACTGTAACACATGCCAGGCTGCGGGACAAATGACAGTCGCAGTGCAAGTGGCCACTGATTGTGGCAGAGAGGGACACGCTGAATGCCTACATCTGTACTGTGATCTGTATTCTAGATATGAAACCTCATGATTAAAATACATTATATTGTATGAACAAAATTTTAATATTGATAAAGATTTAACACTGATATTTCTGTAACTATTTAATCCCACAGCTAGTGTGACAGTCTGTTGTCAGTTTATCAGGGACACTTAGCTAAGTCAGTCTAATCCAACAATCCTGCAATAAATCCACCTTCATTAAGGTTATTGTTCAGTTTTTTTAAAACTGATCACACTGATAGTTTTGGAGGCTGGAGTTTGCTGCTGTATTGCATTATACAAAGAGTTGTTTTTTAACCTAATTCAAATTATGTTTTAGCATCAAAGACAAAAGGTAAAACATTGTAAACTCCTTCCTCAGGTCATCCAGGCATGTGGAGGTGTGGTGGACTCCACTCTGACCAACCGCTGCACACACCTACTGTGTGAGAGCCAAGTAAGCAACATGTATGTCCAGGTAAGGCTGTGAGCCGTCACATACAACACATACAACTGTAGTAAATACTCGTGCAATGCAAGTCTGTTTCTTATCCATGTATGAGCTCAGAGAAACCAGGCCTCGTGCAACAGAGAGGGCTATTGAAGATAGGTCAAAGGTCAAAGTGTTTGTCATATGCACAGTTAGGAAAAGTGTTTCCCTGTACAATGAAATTCTTTCTTTGCCGTCCACATGAATGCCACATAATACAAATGAAATATGAAGTAGATGAGCAATAACACATCTAAATGGGCAGTAAAACAGGCAGATAAACAGGTAACAAAAGAAACAAATTGACAGGAGAATGAAAGGAAAGGAAAGCTGTGTGAAATCTGAATCCATAAAGTGAGGAGAAGGCCGAATCTGGTGATCAGCAGAAAAAAATGTCAAGCTACTGTGCTCTGAATTACTTTAACCACTGTTGTTTGTCAGTATTGTTGATGTGTATGGTGGATTTTCTGGCAGGCACTCAGAGAGGGGAGGCGCTGTGTAACAGCTCACTGGCTCAACACTGTACTGAAAAGGAAGAGGATGGTTCCTCCTCATCGTACGTTACATCTGCCTTTTGCCTTCCCTCCTGGAGCCAAACCCTGCTCTCAGCACGTAGGTTCAACTACTGTTTTTGTTTCTTACCAGCCTGAACTGTGTTGGTTTACTTCATGGGGATTAAGAAACACACACACACTTTTTCTCCCTCTCACACACACACATACAAAAAACTTGGAATTTCTACGTCAGTACACTTCACAGAGAAGTGTACTGACCGGGAACCTAAAGAATTCTAACCAGCAACCGGTCCTGCTCCACAATAAGGCTGCAGTGGCCATTTCACCATGGACATTCTTAAGGCCTCTGATTCTGCAAGTCTTTAGTTTTGATATGTGAGCCATCGAATTAAATTTAGCCTTTTCAGCAAAAAAAGATGCATTCACAAGTTCAGGGGCAGAGGTAGCAGTTGAATGCAGGTATACAGTGTTTGAAAATGTCTTATGACATCACCACAACTTTTAGTTGCGCCACAGCCTGGTCCATTACCAATTTGATTTATTGCATAAAACCTTGGCAAGACTACATGATACAAAGTCGATAGCCCGTTTCAGTCACAGTCCAGCTTTTGGCCCACTTTTCTGCTGCTGCCTAGTAGGGATGTAACTATTTGTAATTTTGCAGTATCGGAGAGAAAATGTTCTCTAATGTTGTGGGACTGTGATGGTATCTATCAGGATATTACCTATGATTATTCTGCCAGTATAACTGTTAAGTCACATTATTTGAAACCTACATAGCGGGTGCTACATCATCAACATTTAGACCCGTTGTGTAGCAGCATTTCAGTTTTTCTGTTTGAAAAAAGTGACATGGGCATAAAGGAAACTGACAGACAATTTGCAAATACTGCGGGACAAAGGCAATACTATCCCTGTTTAGGACTGAGACATTTGTGGATACATCTCATATAAACAGTACGGACACAACATTTTTACAGAGATGGGAAACAAACTGGATGCACAACCTACCACTTAGTAACCACCACTAAAGTCTTTTTCCTGGAAAAAGTAGACCACAGTGTTTGAAAAACACCTCCAGTAAAGCACAAATGGCACCGTTATGTGGCTTTCCTAGTGGAGGTTGCATCTTTTTCTCCTTCTGGTGCGGCAAGCAGCAGCTTACTCACTGCTACCCCTGGTGGTCAGGATGATACTTGCTTCAACTGGTCCAGTGACACAGATCCTGATCACTGGTGGCCCCAATGTGCATTGATTAAAATAAAAATCGAATAATAAAGTAAAATCAAAGACAAGAATAAATCTACTGATAGATATATATGTATATATACATACAGTTTGTTTCCCATCTCTGTAGTATTTGCACCTACATTGCTCATGGCTGGCTACTTCTTGTATTAATGAAGGAAAGCAGATGTGGTGCTAACATAAGCTGCAGCTGCTGTGGTGGAATTGGCTTTCCAGCTATCAATTACAGTACAGTCTTCAGCTTTAGATATATTTTGTGTTTGACCAGGTGTTTCCTTGAGTTAGGTGTGATTGCATTTTGCATTACAGAGAGCGCTGTCTGCATCAAGTTATGAAAGTGTGACCGCACTCGAGACCCCCTTTGGCTCGCCTTTGCCCTGACTGTGTGTTGTGCTTCAACAAATTGTGGGGTATTGCCGTATGGTTTCACTCACCCAGATGTGCTCCTAGTCTAGGCAGTGAAATTTGGCATGGTTTGATTTAACATGGATCAGCAGTCAGTAGTTCCACCATAATTCGGTCTTACCCTTAAAAGTACTGAGCGCGGTACCCAACCCTAGCTGTATTACCATTATTATGGAGTTTTTCTTCTTAGCTTGTCCACAGTATTTGTATTACATTTACAGTGAGTTTGACATTCTCCACTTTGTTCTGTGCAATATAACAGCATTTCTTTGTCTTTTCCTACAAATAGCATTTAACACATTTCAGCAAATGATTAAGTACAACAATTAGGTTAGCAATTGTAGTATATGTCCTTATGATATCTTTTCAGTTAAACATTCTAATTCCAAAGCATATATTTCACTGTTCACATTATTGCACAGGCTAGACATCAGTTAATGCAGTTCTCAAAATATGTCAGCTGTTATAAATTCCACTTGCATAGATGGGCGACAGGCACATCAGAAAGAATCCACACTCATTGTAATGATCAGCAAAGTTATCAGGCTAACCTGTTAATACATGTATGAGGATACCCCCTTGGCCAGCACAGAGCAGTTACAACACAAATGTAAAAACTTTTAAGATTGGCCACCTATATAATACATCATTTAGGATGCACATGGTCAGTTGTATGAACTTAAATTACATATGAAATACGATGTGATGCATACCCAAATACAAATATGTACCTAAGTGGCTCTTACAACTACCAGCTCAGTGAAGGTTGGCTTTCCCAAGCCGATGGAGTATCACTGGTAAACACCGCTGCAGCTCTAATGTCATCGAAGTGGACAGACTCTACTTCATCACTCAGAGATCCTCTTCATGGAAGTCACAGAGCATCAGTGACACAGCCTTAGAGAAGCCCCACACTCACTTAGAATTATTACTCATACACTTTGAGAGAGGTTTAAATGATTAAAATGTAATGATCAGTCTTTGTCCATTGTGTTTCTGACATTTGCCTGCCATCTGTGTACTCTCTGATCACTGTCTTTCCTCTCAGATCATATCAGTGACAGGTTTTGTGGATGCTGACAGAGATGACCTGAAGCTGATGGCCTACCTGGCTGGTGCCAGATACACTGGATATCTGTGTCGCAGTAACACAGTCCTCATCTGTAAAGAGTAAGCTTCTTTTAAATAGTACATGCATTGTAATTTTGTATGACATTATTAATTTGCAGTGAAAACACATGTTTTTAAGCTTTGTGATTCATTTTCAACCAGCAGAAGGGACTAAAGCAGATGACTGGAACATTGACATTCTTATTTTATAAGAATCAAAGATATAAATGGCCTAAAAACTTAATCACCGAGATGCACGTATCACTGAAAAACAGTTTTGTAGGATAAGCTACCTACCAGATTTGAAAGTGTGTTCTGAGAATTATAGTCAAACTGATTCCACACTTGAACATCTCAACTGGGCAAACATGATGTTCCCAGCATCACAACAACCTGTGTGCACATGTCTCAGGCTTTTATTCAGTGAGGCCTCACTGCAGAATCGGTGATAAAGCACTTCTAAATCTGAGTCCTGTAGTAAATGGTAGAATTTGCACCATCGGTAAAGAGTGTTTTCTGCCACCCAGCCATATTGGCCTGTGTTTTAGCAGGCACAGTGTTGAATCAAAGATATAAATGGCCTTTATAAATGGATTGTCTTACTGATCTCTTTTCAGACCCAGCGGGCTTAAATATGAGAAGGCCAAGGAGTGGAAGATTCCATGTGTTAATGCCCAGTGGCTGTGTGATATACTGCTGGGCAATTTTGAAGCACTGAGACAGATTCACCACAGCAGATACTCCATCTACACACATGCTGAACCACTGGTTCCTAACCCACAGCTGGTCCAGAACCTGCTGGGTATGTACAGCTGTAGATTGTAATCAAAACAGACCGTTGTGTTGGATATTGAATTGTGTTATAATAGGATAATTGGCAAACAGTGATGAAATAAAGAAGGTTAAATTATCATACACCTCTGGATAAGGATAGGTTATGATAGCTGATAGGTTCTTTACACAAGTTGGTAAAATATTTGGCTTTGTGAAGCTTCATGGCCAAAACAAAGCAGTTATCGAACCTGTTATTCATACATTCTGTTTAGATGACACTTTTCAGCCTCTTTGATAATTCAGACATTGCGAAAGGAAAAAAAAAAAACACGCACACACTGATGAAAACGTAGCACCTATTCAGGAGCACACAGATGCCCTAGTGCCTTCACAGGAGTATCCAGAGGCCCTTCTACCTCTTCAAGAGGCCCCAGAACCTCCACAGGAGTCCCCAGGGGCCCCTCCACTTCAATAGCTGCCAAAGGCCCCGGCACCTTCATAGGAGTCCCTGGTGGTCCATCAACCTCCCCAGGAGGGTATGCGCAAAATACGTCTGGCCCTCTACACGTGACTACTAGAACAGCATGGAACTTCTAACCAAGCAAACAAAAAGGGAGAATCATCTTAAATAGGCTGTAACTTTGAAATATATCAACTTGAATTGGATTACCGGGACAGCTAAAGCTGGTCTTGAGCCTCAGGCGAACTTCTGGACTGGACACAAGCAGATGACATCACCCGCAGAATCGTCTTCAGCTCGCATTGCTATTATGATTTAACCTAGCCTTGCAATAGCCACGCAAAGACACAAACACACACACTCTCCAACTGTTGCTCCCTTCTGATCTTTCAAGATACACAATGATTGTTAAATAAAATAAATGGGGAGCATATTTGCAAGTCACACTTGTTCACCTAGTTATAAAATGTTGCTAAAAGTAGTTGCCAAATGCAACTAAACGGTCACAGCCCTTATATACATACGATATGGCTGGGAATGTTTAAATATTTTCATAAACAAGTACAATTTTTGACAGCGTGTACACCCTTTGTCCATATGGTAGTCTACTACCCACGATTCAATTTACAGAGTGCCATGAGGGGTGTAGCAGCAACGATGACATTTCATTTCATTTTGAAGATCCCAGAACAAAAAGTCAAACAAAATGTAGTAAAAGCACGTATGACGCAGTTTCCAACCACAGTAAGGTAGACAGTAAGCCACAATCACATTAGCATCAACATAAGCTGGTCTCACCATGGGAGAGGGTCCCTGCTCTGCCGTCTCACAGCCAGCTGCACATTAAGACCAGACTGCCCGGTATGGAGGACAGCTTGGTTAGATGAAAATGAACTTGTAGCTTGTTTCTACCTTACTATGATGGGAAGAAGTGGATGAAAAAGAAAAACTCTTTTGTGGGCGAATTATTGTGCACAGATTTATGTGTCAGGAACAGGAGCGCACCTCCTAAACACAACGCTGGGCACTGTGTGAAAAGTTCCTATGGGAGAGTGTTGCTGAGAGCGAGGCTGCTGAAGTGAATGAGCTATGGTAGAACTGGGGCTTTTTTTCCTTAAAGGCCAAGTCGGTTGTTGTCTAAATGATTACAATATGGCCAATGTCTACACAATCCAATCCCCTATATACATACTGTACATATATGCCTGTAAATCAAACTGCTTTGACTTTGGTATCTTTCCCCCCCACAGTTGCTTGGAGAACACCTATCAAAGTATCTCCCGAAGCTTTGGCGGTGAGTTGCTTGAAGTGCTGTTGCACGAGGCCACAGTTGCATCACGCATTTTTTTTCTGTGTCAAACAGCTTGTTTCGTTCGTGGGAGAGAAGTAGTCCAAGTATAAATGAGGTCTGACAGATGTTTCTAAAGCCATTGTACTTGATGACACATCTGTGAGAGTTATTGGAAGGATCCTAATCATTTTTTCTCTAATAGCTGTGATTTTATTTGTAAAGAAGCTCATGAAGT